AATCTAGGGCATCTGTTTCGAATGGAATAGACAGCAGAGAAGTCACAGCTGAGCCCCAAGAAACTCCAAATGTGAGAGCTTTGTTTACAAATCAGCTGCCCGCCCTCCGGCTGGAGAATTAAAGAGCTTCAGCCATACTGTGGTCCTCTCCATACGCTTAATACAGATGTAACCATAGTAAAACACAAGTCATGGGAGAAATAAAAACAGCTATCAATTATTGAGCACCTAAGTTCTGGTCACCAGGCTAGGGTTTTATGTCTACTGTTTTATTCACTCTTCATGGTCCAGGATGGATAGTCATTTGCTTTTCTTTTTCAAGTTTCCACCTCAGGTTGAAATAAACTATGGAGAACTCTAGGAAGAGAGCTTACTCAGAAGGAAGACCAAGTGACTATTTAAGGAGTATCCATCTCTTAGCACTATTTTTCTATTATTTGTCATATTTTTGATATTATAATACTGCTGCTTGCCCTATTTTTTAACGGGAAATATTCAGACCTATAATACTCATAGCTTTTTCAATCATAGAGTTTTTATGTCTAGTTTGTAAGAGTTTAATCACGGGGAACAAAAGCTTCCATCACCGGTTTCCTCCCCACCTTATTTGCACTATATGCTTGTTTATCCTCCGTTACAGCATACTCCCCTCATGGTTTGAAATGAAAAGATGATCCATCTCCTCATTACTGATCCTCTGCTTGGTGATGAAAAACAAAACAAAACATAGGAACAAAGGAAAAATGCCTTCCTGTCATTGCTCAGCCGTCTCTGCCGCTGCTCAGCTGGGACGTTAAAGATTGGAGTTTAATGAAAGAAGGTGAGAAGGTGAAAAAAAAAGCCCTAATGAGTGTGTGTTTAGTTATATGGAAAGATCACTGAGAAGCGGCAGTGATTTTCTTTGTGCCGAATATAACACAGTATCGCCAAGGTCAAAGCAGCTCATCATCCTTCCTTCCTCACCCATTCATTCCCTGTCCTGGCAACCAGCTTGTTCACCTGCAGTAGGGTTCATGAAGTTTCATTTTTGATGGCAGAGTGAAAAGCATCTCACGTCTCATCGCCAACTTGCTGTGCTTGAGAAGCACACAGAAGTGGTGCGGGAGGTTGTGCAGGCTGCTTGCCTCACCGGTGGAGCAGCTCAGGGGCAGGCATTTCGGCCCTTGCGCTGCAGACGGCAGAGCCCCAGTCCAGTCTGCAGCCTTACTGCCACTCACCCTTTAGACTGGGAAGGAAGGAGGAAATGCTTCCTTCCAGCAAGCCACAGCCACAGAGAAACAAAAATGCTTTAATGCTTCAAAGGAGAGCCAATAACAGCTGTCAAAAGTCTAAAGCGATGCTCCGAATTAGAATGAAATCATGTAGTCATAATATCATTCCAAAAATGTCTTTAATCAGCGCGCGTTCCAGCCCTGTGGCGTGAGCATCACATTGAAAATACCAAATCAAACATGAGGGCCAAACTTGGACCGAACACCCAAAACTCCAAAAGAGAGTGATGTGTTTGCTTCACCAGTTCCCAAGTCAGGAAATCATTACTCATGGTTCCCAACAGACCACCCTTTGGGGAATGAGAGAGACACAGGACAAACCACACGACAAGTAAAAAAAGAAAGCCTGAAGTGCAGCTCCTTTTGGATCGACAGCTATTCCAGGGAGGCAGGCGTGCTGCTCTCGTGTTCTATGTCCGGTGTAACGATTAGCACATTGGCAGGCATGAACTGACATCTTTCTTTGAAGTTGAACTACGCAGCCTGAACTGTGTCCTCATCCTCTCCATTTCATTGAGTGAATAATCCAAATTACACAGAACGGCAGTAAATTGGCTCATCATCGCCCTGTTCTAATTTTAAAAGGATAAAGATCTAAAACACCAGACAGCCTAACACTGAAGGAACTAGTGAAGCCTGTGAGGGAGGTGCCAGGGTCTTTCTCCCAAAGGTCACGGGCTCAAATTCAGCCTAGGTTTGTAGTGATCAAGGACCACTCCGCATTTTTGTGTTAAATTTATATGTGTCTTCAACAAAATGTGCCTGCTATGGACCTGACAGCTTGTACTTGTTATTCTCACTGACTCTCTCAGGAGTACCCTAGATGGCCAGCACATGTGGATCCTGAATCTTTTCATCCCATATAAAGTTGATTCTTGCAAAATGTGAACACCAAGGCTCTAAAGAGCATCCTGCCTTCACGCCGTCATCTACCTGGCCCCCTTCAGTCGGAAAAGTACCACAGCTCTTTGACTATCAGTCTAATACAATACCCTGAGGAGCCTGGGACAGACACATTTTAAAGATGTACCTACATACTCACAACAACAGCATTTTCCAAACAACATAATAACTCTCAATTTCAACAAAGCATTCACTTGCAGTAATAAAATGCCAGGTCACAAGTCAAATTTTGACTCCATTACTGAGCATTATCCATGAGTTCTAAATGGAAAGTCAGTACAATTCACCAGCTGTCAAGCTCCAGCTTTCTCCCCCACCTGAACAACAAAGAGAATCCCAGGCTAAGCGGTTATAGCTGCCAGTGTCAGTACTTGATTAGGTCCTTAATGACTGGCTCAGTCCGTGGGGCACTTCAGCCAGTCAGTCAACAAACAGACTTCCACCCACTCAGATCCCAGGTTTCTGTTTGGAATTTCATAGGATTCAGCGAAGAATCCATCAATCCAGAGAGATCTGGGATGTATTAGACACAAATGATCATTAGATAGCTCCCACTTTATGACAAAGCAAAATTTGGTGTGGCTGATATGAGACTTCCATGGAGTAAGTCCACAGGTTGTAAACTGTTCCCACCTTCTGATCTGATACTGACCACCAGGAGGGTGGATCCATGTGTGGGAGGATATCCTGTAAGCTGCCTCACCAAGGTGCATCAGGGCTGTGTGAGGGACCCCAAACAGCTGTGCCACCCCAAGAGCATACGGGGCCGCCTACCAGGGAGGTGGCATCCCAGGAGCAAATCCTGGCGCCCGGAAGCATTCTAGGGGCCAAACTCCCCCAGCTTGTGACCGAACGAGGTCCTCATCCTAGGAAGAGGAAGAACGGCTCGCCCTGGATCTTTCCTTTTGAAGGGTAGGAAGCATTTGAACCTGTGCAACCAGGCACTGGGGGGGACATGAATATTATTTGTTAAGAGCCCCGGAAGGCAACATTTTGTAAACTTTATCCCCTGCTAAAGGTGTGAGGTGAGGGTGAAAGCTAGCAACCAAGACCCCCGAAAGAAAAGAGGCCATGTATTTCAAAGCCCTCCGCTCCCCGCCCCCAGCCTTTTAAACCTTCAGCGTGCCATCTCAGCTAAAGATGATTAAGGCGAGCCCTCCCTGGACGGCACGCATAAGGTCCAGCCTAGTCCCACATCTCGCCAGCCTCCATCTTCCTCCACCTCTCGATGGGGCCATGCGATCTCTGTTTATACCTATTCCATCTGCCTAGTGAGTATAACTTGATCTGCCAGCGGTGTACTCTATCCTGAAGGGGCCATCTCCCCAATGGTGAAATGGGGGGATACTTTTCCTCACCCAAAGCGATGTAAGGGGATTTTCCAAGGCTCAATTGACGCTTTGCAAAAAGCCTTTCCAGGATTTGGCCTGAGGTTCCCCAAAACGGGATTTACAGCCTTCCCTCCTCCGGGACTTCGGACCCACCCATCCGCAGCTTCATGTCTGCCCTTTTGGAGAGGCTCGCTTTTCTGAGTGCTCGCCACGTAGTGCAAATACGGAGCCCAGATCCTGCGGGTGGCCGTCGGGCTCCAGGCCCAGGAGGGGGGGGGGGGCGCCGTCCGGGACAGACTGGCGGGTTCGGGCGAGGGGTCACGAAATGAACGCGAAGGCGGCCCCCAGCGGAGGGCTGGAGCGGAGAGGATGCGTGCCGTCAGGTGGAGGCCGTGCAGCAGCCTCCCGATCCCGCTCCGGAGCAGCTGAGACGTCGAAATCACCCTGCGCGCCGCCGCCACCCGCCGGCCCGGCGGGGGCGGGCGCGCCCTCTCGGCTGAGGCCGCGGCTGGGGCTTGTTTGTAGGTTCCCAATTCACCATGATAAATGTAAAGACCAATTAAGGTTTGATCCGCGCACACGGGAGGCAGACGGCTGCTGATAGTGGAACCAATTAATGAGCATGTCCCCTAATTCCTGCCGCGGCCGCCGAACGCACAGCGGATTCCCCAGGCGCCCGCCCCCGAGCCCTGAGACCCACCCCCCGGTCCGGCAGGGGGGCGTCCTCCAGCGCGAAGGTGCGAGGAGGGGGACTTTGGGTGGCTGGGGAGGGGGCGCGCCGGCCGAGGCGCGGAGCCAGCCGCCTACGGAGCCCAACTGTTTGCAGCAGGGGACTGGCGGGTGGGGCGCGCCCGAGTGGTCTCGCTGGGTGGGGGCGGCGGAGGCCAGAGAAGGCGCCCAGCGGCGCCCCGAGGGCGGAGCACAGGTGGCCGCTTGGCCGCAGCCAGGTAGCAAATGGCTCTGGGACTAAGTGGCGCGTGCCTCGGGTTTCGCCCGCTACCGGGCCGGGCTCGCGGTTGGCGGCCGCGGGGGCTGCCTGGGGTAAGGCGATCGGGACCCGAGGCCGCACCCCAACCCCTGCCCGGCGCGGCTCAGCCTCTCCGCTCCCGCTCCCCTACCCTTTCTGGCTCAGCCAGGTGGCCCAGACGTGACCCCCGCGCAAGGTGTTGGCGCTGAGCGAGCCGGGGCGCGCGTGATTAATGGCCCCGGGGTCGGGGGCGGCGCAGGCACGAGCCCCGTCTTGGCCCGGCCAGTGTGTGAGGGTATCCGGGAGGAGAGCGGGGTCATGGCAGCGGGGTCCCCCGGGAGCGGGCGGCGGCGACGGTGGCGGTGACGAAGGTGACGCGGGCCGGAGAGGGTAGTCCCCTCGTGCCCCCGGCGGGCGGCGCTGCGGGTGCCCCGCGCCAGCAAAGTTTGGAGCCGCGGGCGCCGCGCGCAGGTCCCTCCCCGCGCAGTCCCCTCGGCGGGGTCTGTGCCGCCGCCGCTGCCAGGGCAGGACAAAGGCTCATTAACACGTGATGGGACCGCGCTTCATAAATGGGACCGGAGCGAGAGGGAGCCAGAGACAGAGCGCGAGCGGAGGGAGAGGCAGGGACCGCGCGAGCGGGGCGAGGCGACGGGCGCTCAGGCCAGCGGAGACGGGCGGCCCCACGCCGGGCCAGGCGGGGCGAGCGGAAGGAGCCGGTGCAGAGCCCTGCAAGGGGGCGAGGCCCGCTGACAGCCGGAGCCGAGGGCGCGCCGGTCCCCGTCGCTGTCGCTGTCGCTGTCGCCGGCGGGCGCTGGAGGCAGGGACCGCCGGCACGCGGACCGACTGACTTACTGACCGACCGCCGGCGGCGCACCCCGCTCCCCCCACCCCGCCCCGGCGCCGCCTTCCCCCGCCACTCCCTCTGCCACCCCTTCCTTCTCCACTTCTTTTCCGCCTCCGCCTCTTCTGGGCTCCCGCGGCGCCGGTGCTTTCCCCTGGCCCGGGCGGGGCGGCTCGGCTCCCTGCGGAGCTCTCCGTAGAGTCTGGGGGCACATTGCATTCTAGCGGAGAACCAGCCCCTGAGCTGGGCGCAAGGTGCAGAGGGAGCTTCTGCCCCGCGGACCGGGGGATGCGAAGGGTAAGACCTGGCAGAGTTGCGTTTGGAAAGACTTTTTTTTTTCCGCCTCCCGCCCCCTCGGGTACTGACCAGTGTGGTCCCCAAGTGTCCTTCGTGGAGTTCTCAGTCCTGGGAGCGAATCGTGTGTTCGTGTTTACTTAGCTCTGTGCTACTTCTGGAGGTTTCTACCGTTTAGTATTTATTGAATGTGTGTGCACCTGGCTCTCTGTATGCATTGTCAGTCTGTAGGAAATGTGTAATTGTGCATGTTTGAAAAACAGGCGCTAGAATCGGCGCTTAATGTCTATAGACTATGTCAGCAACTGAGTCTTCGCAGAGAAATCCATCGATCTCTGCACCAAACCTAGAAATAGACTAAAACATGAAATGTCAGATAAAGAAACGCATGTCAGATAATAAAGTTTTGTTATAGGAAAAGATAGCTACAGGCACCACTTCCCTCAGAAGAAAAACAAATGTGCATTTAGCTAATACCTAATTGTGAATGTTGATGCAACCATTGAACTCAGAACTGACCATTAGGTGAATAAAGTTGATGTTGCATTTTAAGAAGACCTTTCTTATTAAGCTTCGCAAATCACAGATGGATCACCACCCGAATGCAAATGTGCTTCTGTGATAGACGTAAGAAGCTGTCGTTTGATCATTTGAAAGTTTAACAGCTACGTGCATGTTTCTAATTTTGATAGATTATTTATTTCTGGAAGGTTTTAAGTTGAACTGATGAGAAGAACCACCTATTTAGTAACCTAAGAGAATTAACCATTTTGTCTCCCATCTTTTTTTTTTTTCTTTCCTAATCTTCCTCCGAATAAGTGTAACTATGGCCTTTGTTGTTGATTTCTTGATACATTAATCCTTCTTGGGCATTTAAGCCAATAAGATTACAGCAGATTTACTGGTTTAAAGGTGCTGAAAGGTATCTCTATGGGTCAAATAACTAACTTCTCATCTTTATTGCCAAGTTAACGTCTTTTGAACAATGGAGGAAATGGAATTCGTTAGTGGAAACTCAGTGGCCATCGGGTATTAGTGGGGTCACTATTGACATCAGTCTGTTTTGCAGAATCTTGAGAAGCTCAGTGCAACCAACCTTTAAGGTTCCCATAGGATTTTATCTGATTTAGAGTGTTGCTTTTCTAATCCCACTCTTCTGACAGTTTGCAAGGGAAGATACACTGATTGATTTTTTTCCTGTTCATTCCCAGCTCCTCCTTCCTCACTCCTTCCCCCTCCCCCGCTCCCTTTAACTCCTTTAGGAGCAATTTTATCAAAATAAAGGCTGTGTATAGTTTCTCAAACGAGCAAATTATTTTCTGACTATATCCTTACATGAACAGAATACATGCACCTCCAGCATTTTCAACATTGTGTGCTGCCAATGGTGATTTGTAGGCACAGAAGCAGTGACCACAGTTGGGTGAGAGGCTTAATGGTGGACATGGTTTTTTACAAACTAATCCATTTGGGTTATCAGGAGAACTTACTGTAAACAGACTCTTTTTTGTTTCAAAGATGTCTCCCACTGCAGGCAAGGGGCACCCTTGACTGAGGTATGTATGAAGTGTCTGCTGGAGAGAGAGCTCCTTGTGCTGCCAAGTCTACTTGGGGGTGAACCAGTGCCAGGGGTGGAAGGGCTCCCTTCTGGGCTTTCAAAAATAAAATTGCAATGCTTGCATGCTCCTTGTTAGGAAGGCAAAGGAGATACTCAGGTCCCCGAATTTCAGGAGGATCAGTCTATGTGTATGTAAAAAGAATGTTATGACTACAACCTTAAACAAGCGGTAGGTGATGTGATTTAATTGAGTGTGTGAAGTTTTACATTCTGGAGAGAAGCAGCTCTCACGTTGGAGTCGTGCTTGGCTTTGTTTGCTCTGCACTGTTTTCTGTCTTTTTCTGTTACCCTTTTCCCAGTGGACTGTGTTCCTCTCTGTCTTGCCTGTGAGATTGCTCTTCTCTAATAAGCTTGGCTGCAGGATCAGTGTGTTCTTTTTGGCATTTCAAAATGTTAAAATAGTGAAATTGTTAAATGTTACCAAGATGCGACTGCTGGGAATGAAATTCTCCAGAAGAACCACTATATTTGTGGCGTATTATAGTCTATCCCAAAAGAAAACTCCTTGAGTGAGTTTACCTATTTTCTCAAGAAGGAAGCAGCCCCATTGATTGTGTTGATAAGTGTTTAGTATGCAGTGGCAGCTTATTAATTACTAAGGCAAAGCCTGAGAAACTCTTTCAAAACAGTCTTGTGACATTCTCCTTTGCTTTGACTCAGAATTAGCATTAGCCATGCACGAAGTTTAGACAGGTGCCTTGGTTGTCTTGCATGTTAGTCTTATGAATTACAATTGGGATACTTTGCTGTGTAAGAATATATTATTATGAAATGGAGCTAATAGATGTTTGGAGTTCACTACACTTATCAAATGTTTCTTTCCAGAAAACAGTTGTTCTAATAAAGAAAGGGTTGATTTCCTGTAACTAGCTATCCAGGAATGCTGCGAGAAAAAAAAATTGAATTTGTAAAATACCTAACGACACATAATTAGTATAGAGATTTGGTTATAGTTTCTTGAATTTGGTTAGTAAGATGGAGCCTGTCCTTCAGGTTGTTGGCTGTTATTCTTGGGATAATTATGTTAGCTCAGTTGCATAAAGAACACAGATGAGAGCTTGCATTCTCTGCTAAAAAGGATGCCATGTCTCCACCAGTGTAAGTCTGTCTCTTCTATTTTCGTATTCATCATTTTCTAATTGAACTGACAAATAGTTAGAGTGGAATCAGCCTTTGAGTTTAAATTATTTATAATTCTGCTTTTGACTCTGAAACAGCCTGGATCCAACATTGTTTGAAAAACTGCTAGGGCCAGGTTTACATATTGTATATCTGTCATTTGTGAGACAGCCAGCTCTGCTTAGTTTTTCCTCTTACTGACCGAGGATTGGTAGAGAACTTAAAAAATAAGAGGAAATCAAACCAATTTAGGTATTTTGTATTTGCAAAATCTTAGCTTCATGTTTTCCCTCCTGAATCTCTAGTTCTTCCCTGGTTCTTTTATTATAAAAATGTTAACTTAGTGTTGTAACTGCCTGGATACTGTGTGGTGTGTGTGTGTGTGTGTGTGTGTGTGTGTGTGTGTGTGTGCAAGCGTGTGTGTATGTTGTCAGGGGGGAGTGTTCGGAGCATTCAACATCTTGCCATTACATTGCTATTTCATGCTTTGATAACCATTTGATGCTCTTATCTGTATCTCAGATTTCTCCAAAATACTTTCTAGACTAAACAAAACAATGTTATTCAGAATATATATATAGTATCAAACTATCTTTTGTATAACTTTAGATGACTAGTATAAACACACTATACATGCATGAATAAACTTTTCCATAGATATAGACCATGACCAAAATAAAAATTTAGACATATTGTCTTTATATATGTGAACATATAATCCTCACTTTCATAAATACTGCAAGTTTTTTTTTTAAATGTCCAAGTTGAAAGCAGCTGTGCAGATGGACACTGAAAACTCAAAGCAAGAGGAAGTATCCACCTGAAATCAAAACAAGGCTGTTCTTGTTTTCCAGGATAGGTAGAAATCCACCCCAGGCTCTGTGTTCTAAGAATCTTGCAGATAAGCCAGGATGAGCATCACTGCAATCAGTTTTAATTTCATCATTAACACTGTTGAGTTTAAGGCCACTTTTTACACATCTTGCTCTTTGCTTATAATTTTTGGGAATAGGGCTATCCCTGTTGGAAGAAAATATACAAGGTTATTATTGTGTCACAAAATTCATGTTAAGGTCCTTGCATTTATTATATACAATGCATTGTAATGTTGTCCCAAATAAGTTAAAACTAGAGGACATCTATAAAAGGGAATAGGGAGGGTTTTCAGTAGTCCCTGTTGCTCCTTTTGCTGCTACACACATTGTTTGACATTAGATGAACTTGGACCTGAAACTTGCCCACATGGCCAATAGGTATGCTTACAACATATCAGTAAGTAATAGGTCAGTGTCTTTACATAAAGTAATCAGTGTGATTACCCCTTGTTCTTCACGTAAAGTATGTACTAAAAGCTTTCTGGAGTCATATTTCTTCACTCAACAGGGTGCTAGATGGTGAAAAAGTGCATATATTCCATTATAAATCATCTTCCTAGGATAGTTGGTTTATTCTGATCTAGTTTCTGTTGATATTCTCCATATATTTGAAGTATTTTCCATATAACTTTTAATGAATAGTGGAGTAGTTTCTAACTTAAAAATTTCCTTAGGACAGGTTAATAACTTGATGGCCATGGACTTCTAGAGGTTCCTAGTTTTACCTGTGTGGAGTTTTCAGGGGAGAGTTTTTTGCCCCTCAACCCTATGCCCATGGGCCTGGCAGAGTTATCATAGTTGTTCTGGGAATACTTTGAGTTCTGTTTAGTCCCAGCTATAGGAGTTTTCACACTGCACTTTAGGAAAGATTTCAAAGTTTCGCTTTTCTTTAGTTTGTGGGTATGTGAGTAGAGATTGGTCCCATGGGAATCATTGTTTTTTTAGCCAACTCTCTCTCTCTCTTCTTTTAAAAATCTGTTCTGTTATGCCATTATAGTATGTATTGTTTAACAAGTTTCCTAAAGTAGATTGTGCATTGTTTGAATGCAAGAAAGGATTGAAGTTCTTGTTTCTTCTAACATAGATGACAAATAGTTTATCCCTAAGAGTACAATATTTTATCATTTAATGTCCTATTTTCCACTCTTATTTGGATTCATAATTGTTTAGAATTTGAATTCATTTAATAGAGATTTGGTAACTTTGGCTTGATTTCTTAACTACTTTGATCAACTCTGAAGAGAATTTCAACTTTTTTTTTTTGAACTTCAGGAGATAAGGTGCAGTTTAATTTCCTAAATATGATAATGTAGTATCTTTTTTTTCCTACTAGCAAATTCTTTGCTCTTGCTTTTTAAAGAAAAGCAGAGGCATTTTTCAAAGATGTGCCA